CCTATAGCAGCTTCAGCCTACAAGCTCCATTGAGCCTTGTAGCACCACAAGCCTACTACATCTATAAAGTCTATAGTTTAAGACAGAGAGAATACTGGTTGCTACCAGATTTGAACTCTAGACCTTCGGGTTGCTTAAGTATTATGTAATGGATGAGCGCCCTGCCCTTGATATCAATACTACGTGACATCTCCAAGGTATACCAAAAGGTAAGCACAAGAATACTTAAGCAAGTATTCTTTGTGTAGTATAATATATATAGTGCCAGCCAGCTAGCTTTTGCCTCTAGCTGCTGTAAGCTAGTCTGCCCCACAGCCTTGCTGTGTGCAGAGTCGTTACAAATAACAAGTTGATTGACAAGGTTGAACACACTGCCATAAGGGCGGTGTTCCTATGTGGCTATATACTTGAGCGATTGTGCTGGATTCCCAGAGGTTGAACACAATGCCATAAGGGCAGCGTGTCTACTTGCTATATACTTGAGCAGAGGATTGCTCATATTGCTTGGTACTGAGTATACTGATTGTACCAAGTATACTGACCATGCTGAGTATACTGCTTGTGCCAAGTATACTGCTTGTGCAAAGTATCGCCAACGCAGCTTCACTGCTTGGGTTGTTCAAGTTGCTTTGAGTTGCTCAACTGAGAGTGATGATCATACTGAGTATTGCCAACGCGGCCCCACTGCTTGGGTCAATCAATACTACAGTTTCTCAGCTCCTCTTGTATCGTTGCGTAGTCCTGTTTGTTCAGTGTTGTTGCAGGTTGTTCTTTGATCCTAACACTACCTTCTCCTTGTTGTTGTCCAGGTTCCATGATTTTGCAAGCACCTGGGTGTTTGTACATACCCCTAGTGCGCACCCAGTCTCATCCATATTCCACATATCTTCATACTGTATGCCTAGTTTGATTCTTGTCTACTCAAACAGCTCAAGAAAGGCGCGGATTGTCTTGTAGTTTGCTGCTGTAGTACATGCGCTCTTGATTGTCCAGCCAACTATAGATGTGACGCGTGGGTTGCAGTTGATGAAATGGGGTACCCATAGTTGCCTGAGAGGCTTGTAGTCACTGTTTATGTGGAGGAGCCAGGTGGCCATTTCTTGTATGCAAGGATGGGAGGGAGGTTGTGTGTGTGAGTCCTCATCAAGTATCCAATCTATTAGAAAGGCTTCTTGTTCCAGAGTCAATTGCTGTTGATTTGAGTGAGCTATCATGTGTGGTTGTTGACCTGCACATTGGCCTTGCAATGTTGATTGCGCAACACCATGCCAATGAGCAGCTGCTTTGCTTGCTCTTAAAAATACCAGAGTTGAGATCTGCAATAGCATTTTGTATAGCAAGCTCCTTAGCACTACCCTGGCCAAAAAAATGGCCGGTTTTCTTGTGAAGTCACTGTAGGCAGGCAATCGGACACAGGATGGATTGGGGCCGTCTGGGGCCAAATGGGTCACAATCCTTGATGGCTGAGCCTCAAGGTTTGTGAGGAATATATACAGGTGGCCTATGAGCCTCTGGTCCAGCCCCGGAGTACATCCGAGGGCTGGCCAATACATGTACAATCGGGTGACAGAAGTCTGTTCGCCCAAGCGCACAAGCCACCAAACCAACTTCACCACCTCCGTTTTGATGTAGAATAACTCCACACAATGTGGCTCAATTTTGAGAGTTAGGGTGGCAAATTGATTGCATTACACTCAATATTTAGTCTGGTAACCCCTTGCTTCTCTCACAGCATCTAGTCGTTGTGGCATAGACCTGATGAATGCTGCAATCAGTGAATCTGGTATAGCAGCCCATGCCTCATGCAACCCCAATTCAAATGCCTCCCACTCAGCTAGCAAGTCTCCCATATAGTCAAACTCAGGATGGAGCTCATGGAGCTTCTTTTTGAGTGCCCACCAGAGGTGCTCAATAGGGTTAAGGTCTGGAGAATATGGTGGCCAGTCAACCGTAGCAACACCGTGGACCTCTAACCACTCCCTTGACGTGCATGCAGTATGGATAGGTGCGTTGTCCTGCATAAACCACTTGCCTGGCCTGTAGCTGTCCATAAGGCCTTCTTCCAATGCCTGAATATAGCTTTGAGCTGTATATCCACACCGTGCAGCTGCCTCATCGTGGGTCATCACCACCAGCTGACTACGCCAAACTCAGCCTCCTGGAGTCATTGATATTGATGCCCATACCATACGAGCTGGCTGGCGTGCAGTGGTGACCTCCTCTACCATCTCATGAGACCATTTCTCCACTGGTAATTGCCATACCCAGGCAGTGTTGTGGCCAGATCCACAAGCAATGCTACACTCGTCACTGAACTTGGATCTGCTGCGTCCAAAGTTGAAGCCCTGCCAGTCAGCAGCAAGCTTGAGACAGAGCCCTGCTGTACAGGCATTGATCTTTGGTCTGCGCTTGGCTCTGAACTTGCAGTAACCCTGATCAGCCATCGCACGTTATACAGTACGACGTGATACTTGTGGGTGGGTGGCGGTGGAGTCCCACATCCCTGCCTCCTGTAGCAGCCTCTGGTACTCAATACGGGGATTTTTTTGAGCAATTCTAAGCAGCTGGCGGTGATCTCTGCTAGTCAATATAGGCGGACGGCCTGTTCTAGGCTGTGAGGTGTTGCTGGAGGTGGCTTTCCATTGGGTGACTGTTTTTTGGATGCACCGTTGAGAGCACTTGAGAGCGTCTGCAATTTTACTGGTTTGAACACCAGCCTCAACCTGGGCTAAACAATATATGCGCTGCGCTTCTGATAATTCACCTCCAGGCATCCGATTGCCTGAAATTTCAGTACTAAATGAGCTCATATTGATGGAGTAATACGCTGTCAAAGAAGGTGTTGCTCTTGAGAATTGAGGGGTGGTGGTGGCTCGTGCGCTGAGGCGAACGAACTTTTGGCTTAGTACAGTAAGGGAAATACCCATGACATTTCTGCTGAGTTTGACCGCCCCGCACCGGCCTTGAACAGCTCAGCAACCACGAAATTCAACGCTTCATAGCTCAATCAATTCTTTACATTTTTAAATTAAAAATGCATCTACGTAATTGTCAAGTTACACCAACTTCTGACCTGCAAGGGTATCCAGATTCTATGAGGCGGCAGCGGTTCTTTGACACGTTGGATTCCAACAAAGCGCAGCCACATTTGGCACAGATCCCCATGAAACAGCTCTACGAACAACACCATATTTCTGAGCGCACTGCGCGTCGCTGAAGGTCTGATCGTGCAGTATTTGGAGGGCTTACATACCGTAGACAACAGCTACATGAAGCAAAAAAGGTCCTCCACGGCACCAAAGGCAGCGGCTGCCCTCTCAAGATCTCAAATGACGATGTTGATGATATGCTCGCACAACCACTACACTGCCGAAGGCAAGCTCTCCGTGAGCAGATAAATAGGCTGGGTATCAGTGCTCATCGAGATACTGTAAGACGCGCTCTCTGGAACCTCAGGCAAGCTGCAATGTTCAAAGCTGCGACTCAGAAGGAAATTCTTCCATCTCAGCAAGCTCAGCGCATCGTATACACATCAGAGCACAAGAAACAGCCTGTAATTGGCTTCTGGGATGGCGTACAGTTTACTGATGAAGCTCACTGTAGGCTGTCTGACTAATAGTGCAGCTGCCTGTAGTCGTGCTGCTGCTGCGCCTCGCTCCCCACCCCCTCCAGCAACATACAACAGCCGCAACCGCCCAATCAGAGCACCACAAAAGTTTGAGTGAGAGACTTACTCATATAGGTCTATAGACTACTCCACCAAAAATTCTCATAATAACCGAAAACGGAAGCGGGGCTCTTGGGCGCATCAGCCCTGACAGATTAGTATTGATGATGAGCAAAGTGCAATTGAAGCTACACAAAGAAAGTTGCGTTGTAGGTTGCTTGATATGTCGTTATCATATCTCGTATGTCGTTCAAGCTTGCGCCTATAGAAAGATGTGCAGTGGATAATTCTTCAAGTAGAAGCCAGGGTCGAACCTCAGACCCTGACCGAGGGCCAATATCGAGTCAATGTCCTCTTTCGACAAATAGAAGCTTGTAATATCCAAGGTCTGCGCAAGACCGTCCTTGTTATTCGACTTGGGGCTTACAGCAATGTTCCTAAACCACTCTTAGCTCAGCCAAAGAAAGAAGTTGTTTGAAGCCCACCTTTGTGTCGCGAAGCGAAGCAGGATCTGTGAAGGAGTCTTTACATGCTTCGAGGCAATCTTCTTGATGATCTCTATATCAAATAACGACGGCAGTCCTTCGGCGCGCTCACGGAATGCTGGAGGCAATTCTAAGATCGACTGAGGGCCGAATGACGAATATGCTATGACTACGATGCCATGTGTTTAGCCAAGTGGATGAGACCTGGCTATGTGAGATACGAGTGGTGTTCGATTTGAAGCGAGGACACAGGGTGTTTGTTGTATGTGAAGAGGTCGTAGATTGACTGCCCTTGGAAGTTGGAAACACCGATCGAGCGAGCGATGCCTTGTTCAACGGCGGCTTTGAGTGACTTCCAGGTCTCTTGATTCGACACCTTAGCAGGCTTGACAGACTTGCCCGTACGGAGTCAGCTTTGAACAAGAGGTGGGTTGTTTCAATACTCACCGTTTGCCAACCACCACCCGGGGTAGCGCTTTTCCGAGCGCAGATGGGAAAGGAATCAAAAGTAGATCGATATACCCAAATACCCACGACTCGTTCTGTGCCTTGATCATTGGCAATGCATGCTCCTTGGCATGGTAGTTATTCCAGAGCTTCGTGGTAATGGAGATATCCTCGCGCTTGACCACACACTCGCTGATGGCACGCTTAATACCCTATCCGGCTTCCTTCTAGTTCTGGTAGTCATATTCCCCATCGAATAGCCTGTAACCGGCTTTGGTAGCGTTGTAGACGGTATCAGCTGCACTCTCCTTTGGGACCTTCCAAAGACCAAATCTCAGAAGAGGCATCTGATGCCCGCAGGCAAGTTTGACCGTATCCTTGGACATAATGTTATTGCGCAGAGTTGAAGAATCGGAAATTGCTGGCAAACAGGTGTCACGCAACTTCTTTTGTATATGTCAATTCTGAGCATCTCAATAGTAAAGAGCTCTCCATACTTGTCAAACATCGTGAAGCACGACGAAGACATAGCTTCCGAATTGGGAGATCATAACCACTACCGAAGTTGTGCCTAGACCTCACGTGCGGGGACTCGCTCCAGGCGCAACTTCGGAAGCGGCGGGTGCGTAGATTTACCGAGGATAGAACTCCGATAAACACTCTGCAGAACCCACAACAACAGCTGTCAAGCAGCAACGCACCGAAAGCCGATGGAAGGCTCAGCGTCGGCCTCTGCCGAAGGTGCCGACAGCCCTGTCAATGCGCGTCCGAAAAGATCCCGGACGGGCTGCATGACATGCCGGAATCGTCGACGAAAGTGTAAGTGCTTACCATTGATGCTCAATGAGGATGTTTGTAACACCAAGCAGGCGATGAGGGAAAGCCGATCTGTCAGAATTGCATATCGAAAGGGTTCGAGTGTCGATATGCAAGTGCATTCCAGATACTTGGAAAGCATAACTTCACGCCGGAAGTCAAGACTGACGTGAAATACGCCAACGTTCGTGTGAGTATGGTTTTCAGTTATGATGAATGGCTCTATCACGTCTGTCTATGATATCAACAATCAAAGGTCTGCCTGATGTGCTTCTGTGTGGGCTGAGCCGTTTTGAAGGCTTCGCACATCAGCGTTCATGTCCGACCACGTCTGTGTTGTGAGCGAGCTGCAGGCGTCAATCACGCCCTTCCTCTTGCCACGTATTGACTTTACTAGTTCGCTGGAGATGATGGTGAAGAACCGGTGTCGGAGACTGCAAACCAGCCAGCAAAGGCAGCTGGGAGCCGGCAGAATGCCCCTGCGCAGACACAGTCCGTTGTCCTTCCAGATAGACAAGTAGGAACAACTTCAATCGACACCAGCACCCAAAGCCATTCGGGTCATAAGCTCCCGCCGAACAACTACGAGTTCGCATCGGACGGTTTGTTGGCACTTGGCTTTACTTCTGGAACGGCTCAAGGGGCGGACTTTTTTGTAGTACCAAGCGTCAGGGAAAAACATGCGGTTTCGACATTTGACTTTGCCAGGGATGACAACCTGGATCCAACTTTGAACGGCAATAGTCTAGAGAGGCGACCTGGAGTGCATCGAACAGAGACTGGGCATCAGTCAACACTGAGCTTTGACACGATAGGCCATAGCATGCCTGGACCATCTCCAGGCTTCCAGAACTTTAGAGGTTCGGAAGACTTAAACCGGATTCACGGAGCTCCAAACTCCAACGCAATGATTCCAGCAGGCGGCCATCCTGCCCATGCAGTAGCGGCGGGTCGTGACCTTGAGCTTTTGAAGTTCTACAGGTACAACATTGCACCTTGGCTGGACATCTGCGACACCGACCAACACTTCGGTGTGGCTCTATTGACAAACCCAACCCAGGTACCGAGCTTGCGTGCCTCTGTCATACGATTGGCGGCGAGTTCCTCGAACATGGCGTGGGTATTGGAAGACTTGGACGTCGGCAAAAGCACGTCAGAAAGGGGCATGAACGACAGCGCTGCGCCAAATGCAACTCTGGAGACAGTCGTGTGCGTACTGGATGTTCTTGCTGATATGATTCCCAATCTTGCCGCAATCTGGCTAAGAAGCGACAGTGGGCAAAGCCGAATGTATCTCCTGGAGAAACTGTTACTCGAGCTTGGATCCTCCAGTCTCAATGCTTGTGGATACTGGTTGTTGGTTAGGCTAGGTATGGTAGACTTTCTTAAATTCCAGTTGTTCCGCGTGCTGATATCTGAGCAGAGTTGAGTCGCGCATTGATGGCAGGCAATAGCCGTATTCCCCTCCCTTCCTTGACTGGGCAGCCTGGAGGACCCGGGAACATCGACTCGATAGCGCAATGTGCATATGATGCCGTCGCTCTATGTGTGGACTCAGCCATGTTCGCCAAAGGTGACGGTGATCGTTGGCTCCAGCAACGTTATGGGCTCAATCGAGTGGAAGTGTGGAACACCCTGGTCCAAAGCTTCGCCCACTGGTATATGCACCGATCGCAGGCGTTTCAACCCATCATTGAACTATATCCCAAAGACGGTGTGCTGGCCGATGACGACTATCCGACAATCGTGTTTACTAGTGGTGCCGCGCTGTTGGCAAATCAGCTATACCACACAGGCATGCTTCTGCTGCTGCAGAACAAGCCTCGATTCGGGGACAAACCGAATCAGAACTCGCCTTCGATGTCGACTCTATGGCACGCGCACCGCATCTGTGGCATTGCCATCCAAAATGACAGACCAGGCTGGTGGGACCCATGTCTTGTCGCATCTCTCATTGTCGCGGGTCGTACAGCAACGCATGCGAGTCAACATAACGCAATAGTCCGTACGCTTGAGTTTGTTCAGCGATTGACTGGTTGGACCATCCACCCATATGTTGATCAGCTAAGAAGTGAGTGGCAGCTAGCAGATGGTTGGTGAGAATGCCGGTACTGCTTTATCATTTCCGGACGTCCGGACATCCGAGACGGACTTGCTCGACGTAGCAGATTGTAGCATCTCCTGCTTGAATGAGAGCTCTCCACAATCGCAATAGGTCACACCTCACCGCGAACCTTGTAACCCCACGTACTTTCTAAGTCACGGATGCGCCAGGTCGCGGTCCATCCCGTAAGGACTTCGATATGTCGAATGGTTTTGACGACCAGGGCCTGTTCGGAGGAGTGGCTCAGCAGGCGCCCAGCAATCCAGAGCGGTTGTATAGCGTTATTGAGACAGCCTTCATGCGGATTTGTCAGACTGATTCCACAAATGCGTTTCACGTGCCACATAATGGATGTGGTGGGTGTCTGCGACAATGACGTCTTTAGTTTTGGATTGCTGTTGAGTAGCAACACACAAGAGGTGTGGTACAGCTGGTTGGACGATATTGCAGCCCAATGAGCGAAGAAGACGTGCGGAAATGGTGTCGTATTGGTAGTTTCGACAGCCTGCATTTCTGATGGGCGATGTGAAGACCAACTGGCGAGTTGGTCCCATAACCGAAATGACTGTGTTTGGAACTGTTCGGCATCGCACCCATTCTCAGCGCCCAGCTCAGTGTACTTATTGCGGTCGGAGATGAGTTCGCACGTCTTAGCGCAGAGATATACAGCATAGTTGGCATACATATCTGGAACCTTTGGGTTTCGGAAAAGTGCCTCTGCATCTTCGTCCGTGAGGCCATGTGGTAGCCATTCCGAAGGCTTTAGTAACGTGCTTTCTGTGCCGTCTGAGATGAGCGCTCCGCATACATCTGTTTGAGTCAATGAAACATCCTTTCGATAACTTCGGGTGCCACTTACCCATGCGTGCATAGCACCAGAAGAGAGCCTGTAGTACATCGCCATTGAAGCCGTTGACGCCGAAAGCCTCAAATACAGCCGCACATCCCTCGAGATGGTGACGCCAGTCCTGAGCACTAGCTGAGAACATTTCGAGGCAACACAGAATAACACAAGCTGCGATCACTTGGACGTCTCGAGCTTGCAACAAGGGTGTCAACAGTCGGATAGCCTCTTGGTAGAGTTCGAGACTGTCAAATGATGACTGGATTTTGTCCTTCCGTTCGAGCTGGCGAGCTCCGATCGCAAGGATGGCGTATAGCAGAGGCGGCGATTCTTTTGCAAGAGCGGGCAATTGAACTCCAAACGCTCGCTGGCTGTCGAACATGTCAAGCTAAATGCCGATCAGCGTCTTATACTTGATAATGGACTGGAACTCAAATTTTTTTGTTGAGAAAGAAAGGTTATCAGATTGCTTGACAAGACAATAGGCACCCAGGTGTGTTGAGCTCGACGGCTGCGGAGAGGACCAAGGAAACAGGACTCACCCATGGAGCTACTTGTGACATGTAGTTCTTCAGATACTGGATTCGTTTTCCGTCGGCCAGCACACGTTTGATGTTTATTGACCCACTCATGTCATCATTCTCCACAGGAGTTCCTGCCCTAGTTGGCGCGGCTGATCGTGCAGTGGTGAACATGAGCGAACGTAATGCTTCCTGTGAGGCCAGATAATCCGGATCGTGGGCGAACTCGTCGAAGGGCCAGCTTGACGCAGTGACTGGTGACAGAAACGGATCTATGTTTTCGAAACCATACCCGGCGCCTGCCTGCACCTCGCTTGGCGAGAAAAGCGTACTGCCACTGTTGATGACATTGGGGGCATCCGCTGCCGAAGTCCCTTCATCGAGTCGACGTCTTTTATTTGTCGGCTCGTCAACCATCAGTTCGAGAACTGTGAAGCATTGATGTTGCTAGGCCCTTCAGATACCGAGATGGAGAGGAAAGAGCAGGGATGAGCTGGGAGGAAACTAGGAAAGACTAGCCGATCATGTGATAACGCTAGTGGCTGAGTGGCTGAGATCCATGCTTTCACGCGACGCGTCAGTTTCCCAAGGTCATCAAGAACAATCATCAGAAACTCAATGTCATTACTTCTGCACGCTACAAACTCTTACTTTTCGAATGCCGGTAACACCGTCTGCTTACAAGTCGACAAACTCACGGCGCAGGAGCGGGTCATCGATTACCTGTTGCAGGTAACTCTCCACCTTCTTCACCAGCGCCGGGGTATCGAAACCGAAATATTTGTACGCTGCCTTACCTGGGAGACTGTGTCCGAAACGCTTCACGCAGGCTGCGGCATCAGCATACCTCTCCCATCCATTTGGCGCGTAAGGCTCGATGACGATGGCTGGAATGCCTTTGTGTCTGCGTAATGTATCCCGCTTGTACTGGATGGGCTGAGCATCGAACAGACGCTGGCATGGAAAGCTGACAACGCGAGCTTTAATGTTCTTTGTCTTCAGCTCCTTTGCTGTGTCGATCGCATGGCACAGCTCAGCACCGACACCAATCAATGTCACATCGGCGTCTTCGACTTCCTCAATGACGTAGCCACCCTTTCCTACCAAATCGCGCCGAGTTTGCGACAGCTGTGGCAACGTGTGTCTCGATGTCGAGATGATGGTCGGTGTGTTCTTGGCCTCGATGGCTGTAATCCAAGCGCCAGCTGTCTCTTCGCTGTCTGCTGGTCGAATGTACAAGAGATTTGGCATCGCCCGGTAAAGATTGGCCAGCTCAATAGGCTGATGAGTTGGGCCGTCTTCACCCATGCCGATCGAGTCGTGTGTCGCTGCGTGGATGACCTGCAGGTGCTGCAGAGCTCCCATGCGAACTGCTGGTGCTGCATACAGGTAGAACATGAAGAAAGATGATGTCACGGGGATGAATGTGTTGGGAGCAAAAGCAGCCAATCCATTGGAGATGGCACACATGGCATGTTCACGCACACCATAGTGGATGTATCGGCCGCTGTAGTTACCGGTGATACCGCAAGTCGTCTTCAGATCGGGCTGACTCTCGTTAGCGAACGCTGATGATGTTCAAGGGGTGCAGAAGCTTACATGTTGGAAGTCGACTTTGTCCTTCCAGATCATGTTGACCGAAGGGGAGAGATCCGCAGTACCGACCATGAAGTTCTTAACCTTCTGCGCAATGGGGTTGAACACCAGACCAGACGACTTTCTTGTGGCTGTGGGCTGATCAGGGAACGAGCTGGGAAGGAGGTCCTTCCAGTTCTCTGGAAGACGGCCTTCAACTTGGTTCCAGAACTCAGCACCAAGCTCAGGGTACTTGGCTTCGTACTCTTGCACCTTTTTCTCCCAGGACTGGACCAGCTCCTGGCCTCTTGATGGGAGGTCTGCAAAGAACTCGCGAACGGTGTTGCTGATAACAAAGTGCTCCTCAGGGTTGAAGTTGTATAACTTCTTCATGTTAGCAACATCAGCAGTACCAAAAGCAGCTCCGTGAGCAACTGCATCACCAGCTACGGCACTGCCGAGACCGATGACAGTGCGGACATTGATGAAGGTTGGCTTGTCGGTGGAAGCCCGTGCTTTGTTGAGCGCGCTCACGATACCCTCAATGTCGAAACAACCATCCTCAATGTCAATCACATCCCACCCGCATGCGCGCATCTTCGCGTTGACATCCTCGGTGTTTGTAAGGTCGACGCTGCCGTCGCAAGTGATCTGGTTGTTATCGTATATGATGGTAAGGTTGTTCAGCTTGACGTGGCCTGCAAAAGAGATCGCCTCTAACGCTACGCCCTCCTGCAGACACGCATCGCCAATCATACACCATGTGTGGTTGGAAACGATGTCGAAATTTGGCTTGTTGTAGGTCGCCTGCAGATTTTTGGTAGCCATTGCCAGACCAACAGCATTTGCTACACCCTGACCGAGAGGTCCTGTTGTCACCTCAATTCCCTCATGCTCAATCTCTGGGTGGCCGGGGCACAGCGCGTCGACGCGGTCGGAGTGGTAGGATTTCAGCTGATCTAAGGTCATAGCCTTGTAGCCTGTGAGGTGGAGAAACGAGTACTGGAACAAGCAAGTATGGCCTGCTTTCGGTCAGCACTGTCTACGCGACAGACTCAAAACCGGAAAATCTTACCATTGGACAGGACGAATCGGTCGCGGTTGAAGTAAGTCGGTGTGTGCGGCGCATAGCGCATGACATATTTCCAGAGTGAAACTCCTATCGCGGCCATACCAATCGCACCTCTATCTGTAGGTCAGCACTCTGACGAGGCCTAAACGCCAAAAGATGTACCCCGGGTGTCCGCCACTGAACTGTTGGCACAGATCTGCGATCAGCAATCTGAAAGACTTCAGAACATGGTCCTGCTTGTCTGAGAGCTTCCGGACTGCCGCTTGCTCGATCTTTTCTTCTTTTCTCATCCCTTCCACAACATCTTTGCCGTAATTTGTTGCGCCGTTGGCTTGTGTGGTGTTTTGTGCGAGATGCATGATTCTGTAGATGATGTTTGGTGTGAGAGATTCTGAGGACACAACGACGGCACAAGATAATCTTTTCAAGTCAGTCCACAACAACACATCAACATCAGTCTGATAATTCCTCTAAGACAAATGCGACGGGGTTCCCAAATGGGGAACCCGGGGCAGTTTGGATCCGAGGAGCGTAACGGTTCTCGGACTCCCGCACATTCCTATTGGCCGGCTGGTAAGATCCACCGCTCGACACAGAAATCAGAGGCACCAGATTCCCGATTGGGTGAACTCAGCCCTCCAAATTCAATAACCCCACCAAAAGCTGGGCCTCCGCTGCACGCCACTATGCATTCGGCTATACAATCACCAGATGGTAGCCTTTCGATGAGCAAATGCAGTCCCCCTTGCGCGCTCAACATGCCGTCTCCACTCAACTCCGCCGCCTTGGGAAATTTCTCTCCCTCATATACATCGCGCAGTAAGTTCAAACTTATCTGGTAGACACCATGGCGCCAGTAGTCTTCGACTCTCTCTCGAGCGATGTAATGCCTACTGAATCTACGTCACAGAGCACGAATGGAACATCTGGAAAGCAGACAATGTCCACGCCACTCCCGAATCCGTCGCTGCAAGTCACCGCAGACCACAATTTGAAGCAAGAAGATGCGCCCGTGTATGCGCCGGCCCAAGGAGAAGTTCTACTTCATATCAAGGCCACAGGTGTCTGCGGGTATGTGACCCATACGATCTGTTACTGTACTTCATATTGAAATCAGCAGGTCCGACATTCACTTCTGGAGAACAGGGAGGATAGGCTCGCTTGTTGTTGAGGGCGATTGTATCTTAGGTCACGAGGCAGCTGGTATTGTCCTACAATGTGGCGAAGGTGTAACGAACCTGAAGCCAGGTAAGTGGACTCTGGACATCTTTTACTCATCGAAGCTAATGTAATGGTCAAGGTGACCGTGTAGCCGTCGAGCCTGGTATTCCCTGCGGCGAATGCTTCCTTTGCCAGGATGGTCGCTACAATATTTGCGAAGACGTCCAGTTCGCAGGCGTCTATCCGTATCACGGCACAATTCAGCGATATAAGACCCATCCCGCGAAATGGTGTCACAAGTTGCCAGACAACGTCAGTTATGCAGAGGGTGCATTGCTAGAACCACTATCAGTTGTTATGCACGGCATCAAGTCGGCCGGGTTGTCGCTCGGTCGTGGTGCTGTAGTATGCGGAGCTGGACCCATTGGTCTTATTGCACTTGCAGCTGCAAGAGCAAGCGGTGCGCATCCGATTGTCATCACGGATCTCGAACCGAAGAGATTGGCCTTCGCAAAAAAGTTCGTTCCTTCAGCCCTCACCTACCAAGTCAACCGAGATCTTGACTCGGAGGGCAACTCGAAGGAGATCAGGAAGCTGTTCAACTTCGAACACGTTGGAGAGTACGGTGCACCAGAAGTAGTACTTGAGTGCACAGGTGTAGAGAGCAGTGTTGTCACTGCTACCTATACAGCGCGAAGAGGCGGAACAGTCATGGTGATTGGTGTAGGAAAGGAGATCATGAACAATCTTCCGTTCATGCACCTTTCTCTCGGAGAGGTAAGCGTTCGCTCTCTGCTAAGAAGTTGACACAGTACTGACAGCATTACAGATCAATCTCAAGTTTATCAACCGATACCGTGACACATGGCCTGCTGGTCTGCAATGTCTCGCCGGAGGCATCCTTGATCTCAAGCCGCTTGTCAGCCACACGTATCCATTGGAGAAGGCATTGGACGCGCTGCACACATGTGGTGATCTGAGCAATGGAAGCATCAAGGTGCAGATCATTGACGAGGTGGACAACGTGTTGTAAACTACAACATATTAATAAACGATACTTCAACACCTTGTCGTGGTCATTGCCCTGACCAAGTATCTTCGGATGCATTTGTTTCAGCTGCAGATTCTGTGTGCCTATGTCTGCCCAATTCGTTGTCATGGCAAACGAATGTATAAGATCGGAGAGGCCGCGCAAGCCTTAGTCCTGTCTACACCCGCCGTAAATCCACTGTCGCACTCTGGATCATGCAGTCTACAAAACTTGTTATCGTAGTGAGTTGCTTTGGCGCCTGGAAAGAATTCGTTGAAGCCAAGTAACCAGAAAAGCCACAGGTTGATCTCAATGCGGTCGAACATTTTGAACAGGTACATACATCGCTTGTCCTCGTACCACCTATGGCAGTCGTTAAACGGTTGCTATCCAAGTTGGCGTTCAATACCGGGGCAGCATAGGTATTGAAGTCTGCATCTGGACTAGCCCTTGGTTGAGGCTCTGCATTCCTACTCTTCTGTGGGTTGTGGGGTGCCACGTGGTACTCGGACGATTGTGGGGTGATATATCATTACACACTGACCATGGTCTACTCCAAGCCGGAGCGAGAAACCGGACGCAATCTTGCAAGTTGTACGTCCACGCTTGGTCTCTCAAGATCTTGTGCGCACTGGAGTCTTTTTTTCCAGGCTCAAGCTGAATGTACTTCAAGCTTCAGGAGCGCCTTCGTAACTTGTCAAAACGTGTGACGCGGCTTCGCGCATCGTCATCGGTGCGGCCAGCCCTTCACCATCACACATCAACACCACAGACCATCGTCTCTTGATGCCTTTGATTTTCCAAAGTAGAGTGATAGAGGTCTGGTGGTTCGAAAACGATGGCAAACCTACGGCAGTCGACATTCTGGCAAAACCCCGGCCACCATACCGTGTCTGTGCGCGCAATGCGCGGATTCGCGCAATGCGCCGAGACGCTTTATGCACCCATACTTCACAACACCACAACTCAACGCCACAATGACGCTAGAGGAAGCCATTAAAGAGATAGATGCTATGATGCCATGCAAAAACATCCCTTGGACGCAATTATCCATAAAGCATGGTGTTGTGCGCTCTACGTTGACGCGCAAGTACCGAGGAGAAACGCGATCGCGTGAAGAGCAGGCAATTGCACAACAAAAGCTCACTCCACAACAAGAGGACGAGCTTGTCAAGTATATAGAGGAGCTTACAGCCCGACATCTACCTCCTACAAGGGAAATGATAGCAAATTTTGCGTCATCAATAGCCACAGAGCCAGTCAGCGAGAGCTGGGTTACCCGCTTCATCAACAACCACTCAATCCATCTCATCTCTCAATACTCAACGGGTATGGACAGCAATCGCCACAACGCCGATTCGTATACCAAGTACAAGCTCTATTTTGACCTGTTGCAGTCCAAAATTGCCCAATACAACGTCGACGCTGAGCACACATACAATATGGATGAGAAGGGCTTCATGATCGGAGTCACCACAAGGACCAAACACGTCTTCAGTAGACGTATGTGGGAGAAGAAGGAGGTTACAGCAACTACTCAAGATGGTAATCGTGCCTGGGTGACGCTTATAGCGTGTGTGTGTGGGGATGGATCGGCACTGCCACCAGGCCTCCTATACGAGTCTACCAACAACACTATACAGTCAAGCTGGGTGGAGGAAATCAAGCCAGGAGTACACTCTGTCTTTGTTTCCTCGTCACCTTCAGGCTGGACAAACAACGAGGTAGCCCTCGCTTGGCTCAGACAGGTGTTTGATCGCTACACCAAGAAGAAAGCACGAAGAAAGTACCGCCTATTGATACTGGATGGCCATGGATCTCACGTCACGATGGATTTCATCAACTACTGCGATCAGAACAGGATACTCCTGGCTATACTTCCTCCTCATTCAACCCACACGCTCCAGCCACTCGATGTGGTGATGTTCAAGCCTCTCTCGACAGCATACTCAAAGGAGCTCACAACACACCTTCACCATGGCCAAGGACTGTCGGTTATCAAGAAGAGCGACTTCTTCCACCTGTTCTGGAAGGCGTGGACAAGTACGTTTACTCAGGGGCTGATACTCAGGTCCTTTGAGGCAACGGGTATAGCACCCCTTCAACCCAACGTCATCCTCAAGCGATTTGCTAAGCCTACCCCTGAGGGCTCCGATAGCAACAAAAGCTCTTCTTCAGTCTATAGCGGCAAGGATTGGCTCAAAACAGAGACTCTGTTGCGCAAAGTAGCCAAAGACGAAGGCAGTGAAGAGCTGAAAAAGATCAGGCGCTCACTCCACCACATCTCAGTTCAAAACTCAGTCCTCCACCACGAGATTACAGGCCTCAGAGAGGTTCTTAAGACTCAAAAGAAGCACAAGAAGAAGAGCAAGCCTCTTGAGCTTCAGCATCACAAGGACTACCACGGTGGAGCCGAGTTTTACTCTCCTAGTAGAGTAGAGAAAGCACGTGCACGTGAGAGGGCAAAACAACAAGAGCAGAAGGCAGAGGAGCTCAAAAAAGCAGAGATGGCTGAACTGAGGCACGCCAATAAGCTGTACAAGGAGAAGATTGCACAGGAGAGGCGTGAGCAGAAGTTGAGGGAGAAGGAAGAGCGTGACCGGCTGAAGGCTGAGAAGGCTAAGGAAGTTGCCAAACGCAAGGCTGAAAAAGAGCGTCAACAGAGGGAGCGCAACACCAAAAAACCTATACAATTGTCCCAAAGAGGCAAGCGCAAGGCCTCAGAGGTTGCAGCACCCAGGAAGAAGCAGAATCGTGGTAGTGCAGCTGCCCGTAGTCATGCTGCTGCCGCGCCTTGCTCCCCATCCCCTCCGGCAAAATACAACAGCCGCGGCCGCCCAATCAGAGCGCCACAAAAGTTTGAGTGAGAAACTTGTTCATATAGGTCTATAGACTACTCCGCCAGAAAATCTCATGATAATAACCATTGTGTGTGGCTCTACAGCCTCAATTTTGGATTGACGATTTTGGTGTTTCGGCGCATTGCGCGAATCCGCGCATTGCGCGCACAGACACGGTACCGTGTCCGTGCTCGCAATGCGCATGCGCCGCAACGCGCACCATCAACACTTACACCACCCATAGAAAAATGAGGCTCTACAGCCACACACAAAGGCTATCGCAACTAGATTTTTTGGTGGAGTGATCTACAATCGTTGAACAAAAGTCTGGTCGCAGTGTCGCGCTTGGGCCACCTTACGCACTTTTGTGTGGATGTTCACAACGCCTTTTCTCCACAACAACACGGTCAATATATAATCCAACAGAGTGAATTAATCTACATACTTAGTACTTTGTTTGGTAACCTTGCACATCCTTGCACGCCTTCAGGCGCTTAGGCATTGAGTAGATAAGTTTCTTGATTAGTAGATCCGGTATAGCCAACCATGCCTCCTTCAGACCCTCACAGAAACACTCCCACTCCTCTTGTGAGTCTCCAAGTGTGTCAAACTCTGGGTGGAGTTGGTATAACTTTCTTTTCAAAGCCCACCACATGTGCTCAATAGGATTAAGGTCAGGTGAGTATGGGGGGTGTTCAATGGTCCAAATCCCATGACTCTCTAACCATTCCTTGGTGTACTTTGATGTGTGTACCCATGCGTTGTCTTGCATAAACATCTGGTTTGGCTTGTAATGAGGCAGTAGTCCCTCTTCAAGGGCTTTACAATAACTCCAAGAGGTGTAGCCGTGTTGTTTTGCAGTGAAGTCACGCTCCATGATCACCAGCAAAGACCGGCCAACACGGCCACCTGGTGTACACCAAATAGAGCCCCAAACCATTTGTTGCTTTGACCTTGATGTACTCCTTTTATGAACTTTGTTATGGTCAAACTTCTCACTAGGATACTGAAAACTCCACTCCTGATTCTCTCCAGAACCTCTTGCAACGCTGCACTCTGTTGAAGTCGTACTTTAAGCAAAGCTCGTAAGCACTATTCGATTGGTTCTCGAGGATGAACTCTGGCTCTGGAACAGTAGGGGTAAGTCGCCTGGGTGAAACACCTAACGACGGCTTGGGGTAACGATGAGTAGTACAGGCAATCTGTCTAGCTCGAAGGTTGGTTGAGATCCAATGACAAACTTAATTGACGAGGTTGAACACGAACCATAAGGGTTGTGTTCCTACACATATATATACAGTCCACCAGATCTGCTCGTTGACGAGCAGAGTCGGTCCTGGCCAATCCGGATGGATTGCGGTTCGTCAACGAGCATCGTACCATG